CAATTCAATTAAAACTAAGATCTTAGCCAAAGGGTCTTAAATGCATGTTTACTCTGCCAATGATTACAAATATTTACCTAGATCTTGAGTGCCCCACATACTGTAAAAATTAAAATATTTCCGTATACAATTTGAAAAATGCATGAATTTTGAAAATGGTTGATGTCAATTTAATTTTGTATTATTGCTCATTCATAGACATGTTAGGCTTAAAAATCAGCATTATCTGTGGACCAGTCAACCAAAACAATTTTTTCAGTATACGAAAAGAGACAAAAACACTGAAAGTGTAACTGAATAACAGCAAAAGCTTGATACTGTAATAGTATGATTCAACCTCAATACACTTTGTTTTGAACTGTTTATGCATTGTATGACCATGTTGTTCTGTTATTTTAATGGCACACATAAAAAACGTTCCTTTTGGTTACAAAATATTGTAGCATTTCCTCATAGGTATTGTCCACTCTATTTACTAGATAGGAAAAAAACTAGCACACACAATGACAGCCTACAGTCAAAAACTTTTGTTGGAAAGGGAAGTAAAGCAACAATTTTCAAGAGAATAAATGGATGGGGGAAGGGTGTTCTTGTTTCTTTTTTTTTTCATTTGACCTTTCATTCTGATTTTTATCATTGTTAAGTGACTGGACCAAAAGAATACGAATAGTTCTACCTCTCATATCATATGTAGTTCATATAGATTAATCTGGGAAAAACAACTTTACTTTAGGATTCAAACCAAGGCCCTACAATACAGATCGCCTGCTCTACCAAATTACCATTTTGTAAAGAATTCCTTAATGTGTTTGAAAATCAAGAACTTTCTAAAGATGATTATACCTTATAGAAAATAATTTGAAAACTCTTACTCTTTTGACAGCAAAACAACATTAAAAATGATATCCATTTATAAGATTTATAAGTTCAGTGATGGTGGGAAAAATTTGAATTAATTATCTTAATTACAACAGCAGAGATAAACAACAAATAGTATAATAAAGATGTGCAATATACCATGGTTTAGTTTGATAAACTTATGAAAAACCCATTGTTCCTAAACATTATTATGTTGAACTTGACCAACTTTACACATAGTCAGAAACATCTATTTACTTACATTGGATTTTTTAAGCCTAAACTTCAAATATTGAATATAACTTCACAATTTGATATATATTAGTTGACATAAATGCACATTGTACTAAGATTAAGTGACTCAGTCCTCAATGGGTAAGTGTGTATTGGTACAATGACTTAGACCTCAAGGGGAAATTATGACACATTCTTAATTGAGGAACAGCTGGTTTGTGCTTCATTGAGGAAAGGTGCCTAGGCCTCGTTGGGGCAAGGGTGTCTGAGATACAGTTTAAGATCATCTTTGTTGAATATCGGTGATCTTTTGTAGTGTTCTACCAGATGATCCAAAGTTTCAAACTTCCTGGTGCCTATGCAATACCTTCCCCCGGTAGTCTTCACTTTGAAATGCTTCACTTGATGTGGTGCTCTCACTGAGATTGAAAAGTCTGTTGGCTGTGGAGAAATTTATCACAGATATTTATAGGAATACAATTTCATCCTTAACAATGCACATGTAATTTTGTGGAAAAGATAGCTGCTTAAAAGCGCAATCTGTATTTATAAAAGTGTACATTTTCAAGGCTAGCTTGTCTATGGTACTTTAACATACACTGTATATGTACAACATAAAATAAATTCAGATTGTAGCCAATACAGAACATGTAATGCAATAAATATTTTCTTAATTCTTACCGATGTTTCACTAGCTCTTATAAGAAAGTCCCCAGGCTCAATAAGAGGACCAGACAGTAGCCCCTCTGCATCTTCACGCCGTATATGTCCGTGATACCAAATCTTAGATTCTAGATCCGAGTTCGTATGAGCAACTCCATTCGCAGGTAAATTCTTGCCATTTGCTACAGTGGATGTACTACGGGGCGTAACATCTTTTCCTACGTATACCAGTGAATAAACAGGCGTGGCATTGTCCACCTCTTTTACATATGTCCTTGGAACAAGTCCTATTTCCCCCCGGTTATTCCGTGCCCTCCACCAGTCCGGATCATTTTCTGGTTTCTCGACAATATCCAATTGTTCATCTACATCAAAATTAAGTTCTTCCTCATTTCGTCCTTCGAATGGATATAAAGTTCGGACGCCAACAATGAAGTCTTTACTTGCAGTATCATTTTGACTAAAATCGTCATTACCAGAATTCCCTCCTGCCTCTTCAACATAATTTGACGGAAACCATCCACACTGACCTTCGCTTTCACCTCGCCACCATCCGTCTCCCGACTTTTCAAGAACGTGTACTGCTTCTCCTTTCTGTAGCGTTAGCTCATCAGGCTGACGAGCATCATACGGAAACTTCACAACTGCATTCGTCCCCACACCTGGATTCGAATCTATAGAGTTGGTCCTCACATGAGGTGCAACAGCTAATGAATGACTAGTTGGCTGGGACTGCGAGATACGTTGTGAATCCGAGGTGGAAGGCTTTCGTTTTGACAGCGCCATAATTCGACTGATAATTCCAGTTCGTTCTCTCTTGACAAAGTTTGACGGAACATATCCGCACTCACCGCTATGCAGCTTTTGTACCTGCCACCATGATTTACTGTCGTTAAGCAACACAAGCTTTTCATTTTTTCGCAAGTTTAATTCTTCTTCTTGTTTAGCGTCATAGTCCCATTTGGCTATCACATACACCGGGTCGTCATCTGCCATGGCTACAAGAGAAACAAAATTATCATCAAATTAATATCAGATTTATTCATTGAATAATATCTAGAGGGAAATGAATATAAATGACAACCTCAATCAAAATCAACAACAAAGCCCTACAAAAAATCATTCATTACTCAGATTGAGGGATCAGTTAACGTTTACAACAAAAAATGGTGGATTCAGAAGGGGGGGGGGGAGGCGGGAAAGGAGCTGGCCTGTCCCATCCCTCAAATATTTGAAAATTATAAAAAAAAAAAAAAAAAAAAAAAAAAAAATGAGAAGAAAATAAAATTGTAATCAAATTTAAGTCTTAGAAGGCCATTTACAGCCATCTAGACCTGTGCCATAATCTGAGCTGAGGTGGATGGACCCTCTATCTGTGAAAATCCCCTCTATCTGTGAAAATCCCTCCCTGGGCCCACTCTGCTTAAATTTCCCGGATCAGCCACTGGTATTAAAATTTGCCATTAACTGTTTTATTTTAACAAAATAAGTCATTTTTAAAATGTGCATGGTACAGAATTTAAGATTCAAAAAATGATCAACTAAATACCAAACCTGCTGTACAATGAAACATGTTCTACAGCAACCCAGCCAATTATCATTGAAATATTATATCACTGTCATTAATTGCTTTCAACGAACAAGGACAAATTTGGAAACAAATTAGCAATTCCAATTTCATTGATCTTATCTATTATAGTACAAGTTATGAATATGCTACAGAAATATACAATGCAGATTACAGTACTTGCTGTAATAGTTATTTGGCTAGCATTTGCTATAGTGCTTATAATATCAATTCATTCTTTATAAAAAGGGGGTAGGGGAGGAAGGAGGGCAAGGACAAATAATGGCAAGCATTTTATGGCCGCAGTAGTTATACTATAGAATAAAATCATCAAATGAAATGGTAAAGTTCTGTTTCCACAAACCATTGTATAAAATAACAAAATCCTAAAAAAAATACATTAACATATGGTAACCAGTCAGAAAGGAGTGCGGATTCAGCTCTTAATCCAAGACAGATTTTCCCCAATGCATTTGCTGACACCTTACCGTAGGCTAAATAATCTTAATTTCACATCTTTCTCATCACATCATAAATCTGACAGTATCATAACAAAATATGCACTACTTTCTAATTTAAATAAATTAATAAAAAAAGTTAATGATAATCTGAAAGATTGTTGTAAAAGCCAAAAATAAGGTGTAAACATAAATGACAGAATAGCAATTATCTAAAGATTACTTAAAGATTATCTTTACTTCTTTACACTAATTTTTTATAAAACAAAATTGTATATTTGTAAAATTGTTTTATTTGGAAAAATAAACAAGGATATACTTTTTTCCTGACCTGATGTACTATTACAGTGAATTTGCTTACTATACTCTCATATGTGTGAACAAAAAGAAAAATCACAAATGAATGCTGTGGGATACACACCAACAACCACCAGAGTTACAAGCCTGGTACCTTTACACTAAACCACTGAGCTTAATGGTGGCTATGGTCCAAGACAGATTTTCACCAGTACAATTGCTAATACCTTAGGCCAAATATAATTGCTTCTTTCACATTTCCAACTTCATAAAATTTTGAAACCTTATAAAAATTAATTTTAGATCAGGGTATTTATAATATTGGCAATCAGAAAAATTGTTAGCAGAATAGTATTAGCCTACACAAATTAATTTTTAATTCTTTTATCAAAAAATCGTCCAATTTGTATTATTTACCAGCTTTTTTTTAACACTAGTATAAAAGATAGTAAATGGCAAAATAATAAATACCCTGATCTAAATTTAACTTTAAATCCTGGATGTGAATTAAGCAATTAATTATTTTTCGCCTTAAAAATAAGTTGCATGATAATTCCAACTTAATTTTATTCTGGAAAAATAAACAAGTATGTAATCTTTTTTCCTAACCTGGTATGCTATCACGTTGAATTTGCTCACAACAATGACTACCAACCCCGAAACAATTGCAAAAGAATGAGGTGGATATGAACCAACAACCACTAGAGTTACAAGCCTGGTACCTTTCCACTTAACCACTGAACTTAATGGTGGTTACAGTAAGGTTAATTTAAATCCAAAAATTCCAGCAGGGAAACAGTCATTAAAAATAAACTTGCATCACAAACTAGGAAAATTCAAAGGTGCTATAAATAGAACAAATTTTTTTCATGAACCTAAAAAAGCATAACAAAAAAAACACCTACTGTACAATACAAATATTATTGTACAATACAAACTATAGTTACCATATTCATGTACTGAAAGCATTTAAATACAGTAAACCATGGAAACTAAAGTGCAAAAATTGACTTGTGGAAAGATATAGAGGCTGTTCTTATAAACAAACATGCAATTATTATTAAGTAGAAGTGAAAAACACAGGCTACTAAGTGTATATTGCCATTACTCGTTATTAGTCCCGAGTACTGGTAAATGTTAAGTGTAGTTTTGCATAATTTGATTGATACTGGCCAATACTTATCAGCTATTATTACTGTACAGTATCTCTACCAATTTGAATTTCAACTATAGTATTAAACACATCAAGCCTGAAAAAAAAAATGTTTTGTAACAAAAAAATAATATTATAACATGGGCTTATTAGGCCAACCTGTTTCATCTTATTTATTTATTTATTTTTTTGGGGGGGGGGGGAAGAGGCATTAAGATGACACTATTAACTGTTCCAATAATGCACCATTCCCATGAAAATGCCTCCCTTGTTGCACTGCACTGAATCCACCAAAATTGCCAATTACTGTACAGTAATTTGGTCATTTTCGGTACCCATACCACACCAGATTTAGTAGAGCCTGGGTATTAAACCATTTTAAACAGGTGGTCAGTTATAATATGTTGAGACCAGCAGTGGGCCCACATGGTTGTGTACTTCCAAATGTTTTTTATGACCACACCTATTCTCTGTTTACTATAAGTCTTCATAATATAGGCATGTAGCTTTAGGTATGATAATACTTTTCAACTTCAACTATGATAGACCTTCTTTATTAATTTATTTATTCAACTTTCTTTTATGAGGGTGGCTCTTACAGCGAGGCTGACTCAAAGAGGCCCTCATAACAAATACAAAACATACACAGGTACAACAGTAAAATACAGAAAGCACAATGATAAAATAGAATTTCAATAAAATTTAAAAACAGTTGCAAAAAAACAATATAAAAGTTATTCTCAAAAATTTCAATGTCTATAAAATCAGTCTTTAACTAGACTTGAGCACTTTTTATCCTGTATCATATCTAAGGAGAAAAGTTGGCACTAAAAAAAATGTATCCTGGGTCCTCCTACCCTACCACTAGAATTTTCTGAGCATAAAAAATCCACTGAATTTAGTGTTCTGGGAGACTAATTTGGTGATTTAAAAAAATCCCTTCCAACAACAACAATAAACAGCCAAGTAGTGATCCATCGGCCTGTTGTTTTGGCACAATAAATACTGTATTCAAATTCTTTTTTGGCAATTTATTGGTGGGGCCTAAAGGAGGGTTGGTCCAGCCACTAAAATTGTTGGGTGGGCCTAGGATCACTTGGATCAGTGGGATAAATATAAATTTATACAATGTATTTTAGTTTAATTTAAAGTCTACAGTAAACGAAGATGTATGGCTGGTGCCAATGTTTGTATACAGCATTTCTGAAAACGAATATAATTTTGGCTATTTATTATTATATTATTATTACAATACAAATGAATGAGGGAGATAAAAATACAAAATCATTAAAGATAATATTTTTATTCCTATGATTATTGAATTTAAGTTCAAGCTGAACAATAAATACCAATGTGAGTGACACCTACCTTGCAGAACCATGATGAATAGAAAAATTAACAAACAGACAGCTCTGTTTTCAACTGACTATCGATCAGAAAATTGAATTAGCAATAACAGTCTAACTGGTTAAACTCAAGAAAATTCCCATAGAAACCCTGAAATCTATTTATAGATATGATGTCACCACATAACTATAACCTTTTAACAAGAAATTGAATGCTTTTTGTTCCCTGACTGAAGGTCAAGGTGCAGTACCTTATCACTTCTGTTTGGGTTTTCCTCTCATTGTGTACTACATAAAAATAGTTTTCCATGGGGGTGTACATAGAGCCCAGTTTGACCAATTTGTAGGCAGGAGATTTTGTTTTAAAAACCTCTCCCCTAGGGGTCGTGGGCATGGATATACTGTAACTATCATGATGGATATTTAGCGAGAGAGCAACATATATACATATAAATTGTTATTTATAAGCATTATTACATTTACTGAACATGCTTGAGATTCTGGTTCTCAAGCGCGAGACAGACAAATGTGGGAGTCTTACGCCGAATGCGTGAGCCTTGACGTGTATGGGTGTATCGTTGCCTCATTTTAAAATTAATTCACACCATGAATGTAAGCCTCAGTCTTGTCTAGCTGTTTTGGGAACGATAAATTTTGGGAACCATTTCTAATTATTTTGAATCTATAGCAACATGCCTCCAGTTTTTGAGTCATTGTAATTTGTCATATCAGTCATCATACAGGGCATCCCATCTCATCATGACAAGGCTTTATCATTTCTGCCTTGCATTATTATCTGGGTCACTGGAACAAACCCAGAACATGTACTCTACTTACTAGGGAAATATTTCATAATTATTACAGCTAATAATCGGGTATTGGCATTTAAATCTACTAGGTGCAGTAGTACCAAAGTTTGCAACCTTAAATAATAAAGCTTATGCATGAGCGTGATAGGACTAAGAAAAGAGCAAGTAAAGAAGAATCATCTCAACTATGGGATGAGTATAGATTAATAAAAAATAGAGTTAACTTCGAAATAAGAAATAGCAAAAGGGAATATTTTTCAAAACAACTAAATACTAAAGATTCTAAAAAAATATGGGAGAACATACGACTTATAATACCAAAAAAAACTAAAAATACAGAAATAAATAGCTTAAAAACCGATAAAGGA